TAAAGATAGTTAACTTTTAATGATTTGGATTAATTGGAACACAGTGGGCTTACTGGGATGATTTAGATATGAAGCTTTTCAATGGATTAACAAGAAATACGCAACATCATTGTGACCTTCTTGCCTATGTTTTTTTTCCTAGATGCTCCCAAAGTTACAATGCCCAAGAAAACCCCAGGGTACTACCTGCAGCCAGGCCGAATTCTCTGCTCTGTTGAGAGTCTTCTGCCCTTTACCTTGAGCTTTGTCAAAGATGGAGTTACACTTGGAGTAGACCAGTATTTCAAGTGTGTAAATGTTTCTATCAGTAATAATTTATAGCTTTAAACATGTAAATACAAATAGATACCTATTTTAATGCACTTTTTCACTGGAAATTCTCACTTATTTACTTGATAGCCTGAAATATAGCAGTGAACAAAATAGATGCAGATCTGTGTACTTGTGGAGCTTATATTGTAATGGAAGGAGAAAGAAAACGGATGACAAATATAATAAATGCTAGAATACTTTCAAATATTGACTCAGATTTTATAGAATCAGAATTTGATGTCATTTGAGAGTCTCTTGTTAAGACAAAGATTACATAATTTGGAATACAATATTAGTTACCAAACCTTGGAAGGGAACCTTGCAAATAAGAGGGCATGAAGCTTTAGCTTTGTTGGCTTCAGGGTAAACATGTCTCTGGATCTGATTTGCAGTATTACGATAAGTGAATCTGATAAGTGCTATGGCAAAAAGTAGAGCAGGTTAATTGGGATGAATAATACTGGTGGGTAGGGTGCATGTGGTTTTGGCCAATTTGTGATTTTAAAATTCAAGGTTAAGGGCATTTGAGCAACCTGAAGAGGGTGAAAGAGATGGTCAACTAGATATCCAGGGAGGAGTATTTACATAACAGAAAGAGCAAGGGCAAATGCAAGAAGGCCAGAGTGGACTGGGCATGTGGGAAAGACAGGAAGGAGGCCAGTGTGGCTGGAGCTTAGTGAGCCAGGAGGAGAAGGGTAGTAGGTAAGATCAGAGAGGGGCAGTTTGTGCTGCAGGTGGGGAGACAGGTGGACCAGAGCGTGTGTGGCTACTGCATATAACAATCAACAAAAGTGGGCTAGAGGGCACCAACTTTTCTTTGTGAAGTTGAGTGACTTTTAAAAAGATTTTTAAAAACAAATATAGGTAATCTAATGATAAAAATTGAGTAGAGCTTGAAGACTAGAGGAAAACAAGTTTTGGAAAATGTTGCCTTTAACTTACTATTGAAATAAACTACATTTTGGGAAAAACTCTAGAAATTATTTTACCAATCCTTTACACTGTTAATTCAATATTAACATGATTTCCATAAGATGTTAAATATTTGACAGTCTTAACTTATGCAGTCTTTTTATGAGGGATCATTTTAAGTAAAAATTTATGGCAGGAATGTTTATCATAACTTTAGAAAATCTTTCATTCTTTAAAGATTGAACTGTATTATTTCCTGCTTCTTACATAGTATATCTTAATGATTTACTTAGCTATATATTTAATAACCAGCAACATAACTGACCAGGATATCAATCAAATAATGAAGTTTCATAACTGATAGATGAAATCAAATAATTCTGCTTTATGTTTAAAGAGTAATATTTTTCAAAGACATTTAAGAGTCTTTATGAACGAACATTAATTCATTAGTTTCATACAGTTCCTGGGAGGTAAGCCACAGAATTCTTTTTTTCATTTTCCCAGCTCTGTGGCCCAGAGAAGTGACATGCTTTGCTGACATGTATTAAGCTCATTGGATATGAGAGTCTGGATACAACATCAGGCATGGGTGATGATAGACTGATACTCTAACCCTGATTCACTCACATGTCTCTGCCCTAGATTTCCTAATAATATGAAACATGTGACTTAATGTTTGTTTGTATCAGTCACTTTGGTCACCAGGGGATGTAAGAGAGAATCGGTTTGCATGTTAGCAGCAGGGCACATTCCTATTTGACATGTTCTTTTCCCTATTCCAAAGTCCATCCCTTTAAATCTTTTAATTTAATTTTATTTTTAATTATTATGGGTACCTAATAGCTGTAAATCTTTATAAGGTACATGTGATATTTTGATATAGGCATACAATGTGAATTAATCAAATCAGAGTAATTAGGGTATTCATCACCTCAGGCATTTAACATTTCTTTGTGTTAGGAAAATTCCAATTCCACTCTTTAGTTATTTTAAAGTATACCCTAACTTGTTGATTATAGTCACTTTGTTGTGCTATCAACTATTGTTGATTCTATCTAACTATATGACTATATTTTTGTGCCCATTAACCATCCTCACTTTATCACCCCCTCTCCCTCCCCTTCCCAGCCTTTGATAATCATCATTCTGCTCTCTGTCTCCATGAGATCAATTGTAAAACTTTTTTTTTATTGTGGCCATATACTGCTTAATGTCAACTGAGAAGGCTACATGAAAAAGAGAATTATTTTCATGTAATATTTTATAAACAAGAGAGGAAAAAGTATAACTGTAAAGAACATTCTTTAAGTGACTAGTAAACTAGTTATATGCCTTTGAACAAATCATTTGTCCCTTTTGTATCTCAACTTTCTCGTTTTTTAAAAAGAGGGATTTGAGACTAGAAGAATTGTCACTTTCTGTTCTAAAATTTCCATGAATCTAAGTTTGTAATGAATCCTAATATATGCTCATCTCTGAAGTAGGCACTGTAGGAAATACCAAAGATGTATGTATTCCAAATTCCTACCTTCCTGGAATTTACCAGTACCTCCTAGAAAATGATATTTACAAACTGTGCTTAGTGTACTGCTGTTAAGCATTCAAGATACTGCTGAAGGGATCGGTACAGTATAGAGTAAATGATAGCCTGTTTTCCCCTCCACTGAGTGTGACTATAAGAATTACTGGCACATAGTGCATACAGCATTGAAAGGAAACGTTAACCGAAGTGAATATTCTCAGCTTTTAAAATATATGGAACAATGACCTTGCTGAGTTTCTCACTTTCCTGATGACAGGAACTTATGCCTTCATTTTTTCTAACAAACCCTGCCTAGGTCAGTACTAAATACAAATTAAGAGCTCAGTCAATTCTTCATGGTTTTTTGATGACGGTGTGTTTGGATGAGTAACTTAAGTGGAATATGTCTTGGCCACAATGGGCTTTTTGCCTTATCTGTATCTTGAATTTTTAAAAGATTATAAATAGCTATAGATGGTACAAGAAAAAAACTATAAAAATATTTATGACATTTCAGTCATAATTTAAAACAGGATAATGCTTATTTTTGTAGATGATTGCACTCTTTTAAACAAGAATTAAATATCTATTACTAAGACATTTCCAGAAAATGAGAAATAAATTGAACAGTGTTAGAGAACAAAGAATATTCATTAAATGAATGAATACGTAATATATCAGAGGGATTTTTTTAACCTAAATGATAGAGTTTAACTATGAAACTGATCAATTATTTTCTTTTCTCATTGTGTGTGTAGGTTGAAGCAGATATGATATATAGCCCCATGTGGAGCTTATATATAAGAAAATTAAGATTTTATTATTTAGAATCAAAAAATAGATTTCCTGCCTTCAGACTTATAGATTACCTGATTGAATTGCTTTGGCCAAGATCCCCACTGACATAATCATAAAACTGGAAAAGAAGGGGAAGGAGAGAGGATTTAATGAATGTTTTTTTTTTGTCAGCTCCATTATCTTATATTTTGACCTAGCCAGAAAATGGTTCCCTAAAGAAATTTTCAATCTCCATATTAATAATTTATTATCTTTTTTGGGTCTTTTGCTCAAAGTAGAAAAGCTTACCTTTCTAGTTAAAATATAAATGGTGTGAATTTTAAGTAAAAAAGAACTCTGCAGGCCGGACATGGTGGCTCAGTGGCTCACACCTGTAATTCTAGCACTCTGGGAGGCCGAGGTGGGAGGATCACTTGAGGTCAGGAGTTCGAGGTTGCTGTGAGGTAGGCTGACACCACAGCACTGTAGCCCCAGTGACAGAGCGAGACTCTGTCTGAATTAAAAAAAAAAAAAAGCAAAACAAACAACTCTGCAGTTTTATCAATTTATTTTCTTTATATTGTTCTTTTGAATGAACCCTTCAAGAGAAATAGTGGAATCATTGCTTTCAACTTGGTCTTGGTTTCATAGTGACTAAAAGGTTTCTATTTTCTTACCCTAGAGAATCTGCCAGTGTGAACTGGGATATTGAAAAGGTCACTTTGTCTGATGAAGGCTCCTATGAATGCATCGCTGTCAGCAGTGCAGGGACTGGACAGGCACAGACATTTTTTGACGTATCAGGTAATTATCACTAATTCTTTCGCAGTTGCCTGAGTATTAATATGGCTACGGAAATGGGATGTTTGCTAACCAGTTTGTATGTATACATTTATCTTTATGATTATTTTATCATCCTCTCTCTCTCTTCAGTGAATTGTGAACTCATATCCTGACTTCACCCCGTATCAGCTATGTGACCTTACTTGGGCCAATTATTTAAGGTCTTACTTAGTGCTTTGGGTTCCCTAACTATAAAATGAGGATAATAACAATAACAGTCTCTATCTCATGCAGAAACTGTGAGGATTCAGTAATATATGTAATATATGTAAAGCCCTTAGAAAAGAACCTGGAACATGGAAGCACTTAATAGACACCATTATTGTTACTGCTATTTATTACTATTATTATCATTACCATTAGAGATTAACAAATATTTTTTGAAATGGTCATATAGAATTTTCCTTTGAGAAAATGAAGTTTAAGGGAAGGATCTATTCTGATAATAACAAGCTTAAACTTTCCCTTTCCCTCTCCCATATCCCAGAATCCCACATGGAGCGATTCTGACATCTAAATTAAAGACAATAATGAAAGTGATCACACTGTAGGAACAGAAGGCCTCAGGGACTACAACATTGGTACTACAAAGGACATAAGTAATGCCCATTATTTTATATGCAGATAGTATGTTTCCTATGAATAGATGGGAGGCAAGGTATATATTATTTTATAAGGTAAAATACATCAAAGTGAAAAAATAATTTTTCCTCTAATCTCACAGAATTCTTAGGGAACAAAAGCACTACCATATATAATCCATGATCAGCATTAAGCCACTTACTCAGCATTTATATATAATTTATTGGAAACATTGTTTTGACTGAATTATTTTCTCCCTGTCTTGTGGACTAGTGTTGCTATGTGTTTAACAGTAACCTATACTGACCTAAATATCACTGCTGCTGAATTTATAACAGTGTCTGCATTTTGCTTTCAGTATTGGTGTGTATTTTCTTGAGGCAATTTAAGATGAAAGAAGCTTTATAATTATAGGACTGTTCAGAAACCTAAGATTTGTTATGTTTGTTACTAGTGAGTTCAAGCTGAACTTTAAGGCAGAGGCATGTAAGTCAGACAAGCATATTCTTCTTGCAGTAAAACTATTTGTATTCTGTTATTGTTAGAAAAGTAAAGTTTGTCTCCTAAAACAATTTAGCAAGTTGACATACATCACAAACTATTCATTTTTCATCTCCAGTAATTACGAAAAGCACTGGAATTGTGTCAACATTCCTCAGCTTCTGGGAAAACAAACACTTGAGCACTTAAGTATTTTTTCCCAGCAATATTAATTAAGAGAAGGACAATGGGAAAAGAGGTTTGAGTGAGTTGATTCAGACTTCTTGCATAAATAACTGGGAAGTGCCAGTAGGAACTTACGAACTATTATGAATTTGGCTCTATGGTGTCACGGGCTTCCGTCTGTGTGTTCTACACATGCCCTTTTAGTATCAATCTGTGCCAGCCAAGCAAGGGAATAACTAGGAAATTTACTGTGCCCAAGGCTATTTTCAGGAATTGTTTCCTGCTTAGTGAAATATGAAATAAGGGAGCAGAAGCATTGAATCGGGTACAGATTCACGGGATAATTAGATCTTGTATTTTGTAAAGGAGTGTTAGGAAACAAGGCATTATGGAATAGTGATATTGTTGTGTCATTTTAGACATTATTTTATTTTATAAAGTCGAAGAACACCCAAGAGCAGCAGTTAAAGAAAAGCCAAAATTCTACCAACATCTTATTTCAATTTTTTTAGCACTTTCTTCTAGTTGATGTATTTAAGGAGTTTTGGTTCATTGGAATTGTTGGTTATTGTTTTAAATGCAAAATGGGTGAAGAAAGCATTGTGCTTTTCTTTTATTGAACATAAATACATAGAAACTAATGAATACAACTGCAGAAACATGAAAAACTCGTTCTTTCTGATATTTGGTAGTTTACTATTGCAAAGTTACGTTAATTTTCTGAGCTGAATTTCTTTATTAACACAATGTCCTTCACCAAATATGTGCACACGCACACACACTGAGTACTATAATTCTGGGTTTAAATAAAATTATAAATAGAGAAAACTTGTCAAGGGCATGCCAGTGACAGGAAATCTTAAATTATAATTACAGGATATTGTTTTAGAACGGGATAAGATTTGGAAATAATCTTACACCACCTCCTCATTTTATAGCTAAAGAAACAGAAGCCCAGAACAAGCAAGTGACCCATTTATGATCAGATGGGTAGGCAGTAAGAAGTAGATTCCTGGCCTCATGAGTCTCAGTCCAGTGGTCTTTACTTAATGTCCCAGCACCTGTGCTTCCTTGTCATCTTTCCTCCCTTAGTACCGAAGTTCCTTCTCTGATACCCTAATCCTAGCCTCAGTCACGCTTTCTTTCACTTAGAATAGCTGCCTCTTACACTCCCAGGACCAGGTTGTTTCGGTTAATATGTAAGTTTGGCCTTCTTCACAAACTGCTGTAATTCTTCCTCATTACTCCCCTATCCACACCAAATTTATTCACATATATATAAGTATTTAAGTGTGTATTATATTTATTATCTTGAGGTATTTGTGCAGTGGTGATATTACATTTATTATCTTGAGGTATTTATGCAGTGGTGGTATTACATAATGTAATTATAATTGCATGGTATATTTCAAATCTCATCCATCCATGTGTGTTATTAAAAAGTTGGTATTTTACTTATTTGAATTTGTATTTGAAGAGGCAATAGACTCTGAAGCAGAGTTTGGATGCAAGAGGGTTATTGGGGAGTTCTCCAGGGAGAAGCACCCGGAAGGGAGTGAGGGAGATAGAAGGAGATGAACTGTGGTACACTTGCAACGAGAGCCTCGGCTCATCCTGCAGGGAGCCCTGGAGCCGAGACAGCCCTGAACTGAGGCCGGAGAGCTGGGTCTTTGTGCCTCATTAAGTGGTAGTTGGATGTGGGCTGCACGGGGAAGGGGGCCTAACCTTCAGCATGTTAGCTTAGGACTTTAAAGCTAGAAAGAGTCCTTAAAATAACTTAATTTAGTCATCTCATTTTTCAGGTAGGTAAACACAACTGTCAGTAGATTGGCTTATTGAAAGTCATGCGGCTAAGTAGGGGTAGAATGAGGCCACCTATGATTGTCAGATTCAGCAAATAAAAACATAGGTTGCCCAATTAAATTTGAATTTCACATAACTGTGTACCAAATATTGCATGAGATGTACTAAAATATTATTTGATGTTTATTTGAAATTCAAATTTGAGAAAATATTCTGTATTTTATCTGTCAACCCTAGCCAGACTCCAGTCAAAGCTTTCTAACTTTATCATGTACTCTTTGCACTGGATTCACCAGCTATTTTCATAAGAGATTTTAAAAACATAACAGAAAAAAATTATTTTTTTAATAATTTAAAATAG